TAAATAATGAGCATCTTTCAGGAGGCCTAGTAGTTTGGTCTTACATGTTTTGTCACTTGTTTTGCTCACATCTGGGCTTATCTAAATAATCACCATCTTTCAGGAGGCCTCGTAGCTTGGTCTTACAGGTTTTGTCACTTGTTTTGCTCATATCTGGGCCGATCTAAATAATGAGCATCTTTCAGGAGGCCTAGTAGTTTGGTCTTACATGTTTTGTCACTTGTTTTGCTCACATCTGGGCTTATCTAAATAATCACCATCTTTCCGACAACGTGAGTTGAGAAGCAACTGTACTGTACAGTCTTTTAAAGACATGTGGCTATATGATCTTTGATTTAGTTTCTCAAGTCAATATTATCTTACACATCACAAGTGTCTTAAGACTATAACAGAAAAAGTATCAGGACTTATTTGAATTTATTATTAACAAATAGAAAATGAAAGTAAATTCTAAGTTGTGTCTTGACATAAAGAGACAAAATAATGTTTGAAAATCTACAATTGCAGAATATTTAATAAATAATCTGACTTGCGTTTTGTCTTGAAGCAACACTTATCCCTAAAAGAAAAAGGATGCTGTTAATTAAAAGAGTAAGTAATGATGAGATGAATAAAAGACAGAAAGCTGTAGAGAGCCGTGATCATCTACATCCTTCAGAGTCATAGAGAAAGAGATGCAGGGGAGGTAATTCTGTAATGACAAGAAATGGGACAATGACATATAGAACAGCAAACAAGCATTGATGCTTTGTAGTATTTTATTAGAACTAGGAAATAAATTACTGATCTCCCTTTTATTTAAAGGTAAAATAAATATTTTTAAGGAGATGCACAAGAAGAAAGGTTATGTATGGAAACTGGTCCAGACGAAAATGAAAAATGAAATCTGGAATTGGCAAGTAATGAATTTAAGCTAAAATTCTTGTGAAAAAGAATCTTGCAGAATTTAGACCAGTGCAGATCAACAGGGAATCCGATAAAAAAAAAAAATGAACTTTTAAATTATCATTTAATTCTAAATTGACAAATGATCAGATATTGGTAGTTTGTTTATTCATTATAAAGTCAATAATTTAAAGAATTATGTGGATGTTTGGTGGAGAAATTGATAGTGGTTTAAATGTTTTAAGATATTTTAAACTCTTGGGTTTCTATTAAATAACTGGGGCCCACTACTTAATTTGTGAAAAAAATTCTACCCCCCCCATACTCTTATTTCCATCCCCTAGCTTATGTCTTCTTTATGGAAATGTAGAAAGAATTTTTATTCAAAGCAATCATTTAAAATTGCGAAACTAATTTGATAGAGATTCTAGAACTTAATTCAAATCATAAAAAAAATCAAAAGGATACTTTAGTTGTCTAAGTTGCTGTGTTTTAAAAATAATTTCAAAGATATGACCGAGAAAAGAACATTTATAAGTTGGCTCTTATGAGCAATATCTGATTGAAGAAAAGCAATCCTTTGCACTTACTGTAAAGAAATGTTGGAATTCAAATTGAGATTTTGCAAGAATTGTAGTGGACTACCTCAGAGGGCAAAACCAGAGCACCCCAGAGGTATTTGGAGCTACACACAGTAGGAGCTGAGCCTGTACAGCTAGAGTGCACCACTGTCAGAAAGTTAAGTGAGAGTCAGGTAGCTAACATCCACCCACAAAGTGAACACAAAGATATAAAGAGGAGACTATATTTTGTCAGGTCTGTCGACCCTTCAGTATCAACAGAAAGTGAGCTGTTAATTGACTTGCAATCAACTTCAGGTGATTCTCCTGATACCAGCAATACGAAGTCTGGTACAGGAGAACCCAATAACTCCTCCAGTGGTGATTTATCTGAAGACTAAACTTATGTTGCTCCTCCTTAAAGGAGTACCCGGCAGAAGAGGCCTCCCATGGTGGCATTTGCTGTGATCATGCGATCAAGGGGGAGCATAGTGAACTACGTCAGAGGGAAAAAAATATTAGGGTTGCATGCATTTTTTTTGCAACGCTAGAATAAAATAAGTTACTTCCAGTGTGAACAAAGATCTGAACATGCCTTGTGTGTGAACTGTCTAAAGAAGAAAGAAATGGAGGCTTTGCTGGTTACTTATTGAAAACAGATAGATCCTGGAGTCAGATATGTTCTCATGAGATTATCTTTAGCGCACATGTAAATTTGGATTGTCAATGATACATAAAAATGGGGAGAACAAGGTGACAGGCAGGTTACACGTGTTGCAGACAGTAGGATGTTTGTGAGGAAACTGATTGCGGGCATTGTTTGCAAGGAAAGAAACAAAAAAGTTTAAATCTTTTTTTGCTACAAGAAGCCAAAGCAATATGATGACTAGAAACACTGTTTTGTCCTTGCAGGAATATATGACAATGAAAAACTGAACAAGGATTCAGTATTCCTTGACAGAATGCAGCAAATGATTTACAAATTAGGAGAACTATCCATGAAGAATAGAATAACAAATACCAATTTCAACACTTTCAAAATGAAACTGCTCTCTTTCAATCATCTGAAAGACCCTTTTTTGCCTTCTATCAGCATGGCTGATGCTAACCTCCAAGAGAATGACCTATTGTACCTCCTCAGGCTAATGTTTTTTGCTGACAGGAAGTGGAACAATTATATTGAATCAATTGCTAGGTTTGCTGCTAGGAAAGTGGGGTCACACTATTTTACGTAATTATATGTCTACTTTTTCTTCATGCATTGAATCTTGCTGCCACATATGGTCTGATGTTTCTCCCATTTATTTAGAAATTCTTGACAAAATCCAAAGAAGAATCTGCAATGTTATCAGTCCTGACATGGCATCACGGCTTCAGTTACTTTCCAACTCCTGTAACACAGCTTCCCTGCACCTTTTCTATAAATATTTTCATGGTAATTGTTCTGATGAACTTTCCTCTATGGTACCTAGTACTAGATTGGCAGTTAGGTCTCATCATTTTACATTTGAAATACCTAGATGTAACCGTAAGTTCAGTGCTAACAATTTCTTCTATCACACTTCTTGCCTGTGGAACTCTCTTCTGCCTTCCGTTGAATTTTGATCTTCATAAATTTAAATGCAATGTTAATTGTTCTGTCTACTGGAATGTTGTTCTTTTAGGGTCCTTTTTCTTTAATAATGTTCTTTGCTCGTATTTTTTTAACACTCAGTAACCCCTTGTGCTTTAGTGGCTTTATTACCTTACTCTATTTACAAACCATTCTCTCATTCAAATTCTGAAAAAAATTTCCAACCTCACTGCTTATTCCAAACAGCTCTTTTATTAAAGACCCGAGTGTACTTATATTATTAAAGTATCTTCATACATTTATGCATATTAGAAAGGCCTGTGAAAATTTCACAGTTTTCCTATTTTAATTTTCTGATGAATGTTAATTTTTAATGATTGAGTAAGCTCATGGCAAATTCTACTTTAACAAAATATTGCAATAACAAACAAAAATATGAATACTAGTTGTTATTTTGTGAGGTGGGTACAAATAGAAAGATCTGAATTTAACATCTTCACTGAAACAACCTATTAAACCCTTCTACCTTCCTTTCATTCATTCATTTTCTCACTGAAACCAAGTAGTGTATGTCTTTTGTTTTTCTATGCAATCAAAGCAGAATAGTCCATTATTTATGAGGTATTGGCAGGAGATGTTAAACACTTCCCTTCTTTCTAGCCAAATCCCAGTTTTACGAACATTTCTCTCAATAACAATTTAAAAATAATCCAGCAAGTGATGTTATATTATTTATAGTAACTGAATTTTTGGTAATTGCCTTACTCTATTTCTGTTGTTCGATACTGTGCACATGTTCCTTTCTTTTGTTTTCTCACTGAAACCAAGTAGTGTCTTTGCCCCACTTTCCTAGCGATCAAAACGGTATAGTCCATTATTTATGAGGCTTTGGCAGGGTGTAACGGTCGTGCAAACTAACAAAGGGAGGGCCAAGTGCAATTATAATAGGATATTTAATTTATTTGATATTCTGTCATATGATAACAAAACTATTATAAACAGACAACAATGAAGACCTATTACCATCAATGTTTGTGAGAAAAATCTTACCTGTAGATTACAATTTCTGAATACCTATGATGAGGAGCTATCATTAATTACAGTCAGTCCTCCTTTTTCTTCATCCCCGTTTCTATGCTACCGCATCCTGTTACTCTCATCGTTGACCTTGAGTAGGCCCAATCAGTCATGTAGTAGGTTATTTTTTTTATACAGTCAAGCTAGCTTGAACATTCATGAGTGTATCATGCCAATCATCCCGCAGCTAGGACAAGAGGTCATTAGGGTGTCAGTTACATAGTTGATCAATTTAGGTGGTTGCTGGACGACCAACCTATTTCGGTGTTGTGGCTAGGTGAACTAAATTCTACTGAAAAGGATGTGAAAATTTGCAGAGCTAAAACCTGAATCACCTTGAATAAAATGTATGTAATCTGGAAATCTGATCTAGCAGACAATCTCAAATGGAGATTCTTTTGCGCCATTGTAGAGGTGGTTTTAACGTCTGGTGCCACTGCTTGGACATTAAGTAAACCTTAGTGTTTAAGCTTGAGGAGACCTGCACTTGGATACTGAGAGCTATACTTACCATCTCTGGGAGACAACATCCTACTAAATCACCACTCTATTGACCTATCCCTGGTTATTTCTACAATCTTACATGAATGGTGAATGTGCTTTGCAGTTATACTAATAATAAGTACTAGTTGAATTATATATGACTATTTCTTATCTGGTTTAGTTAAAATAATTGAAAATAAATAGAATAGTGTATTTTATATGCAAACCAAGAAGCAGTAATTAGTAATTAATAAGAATTTATCTATCATCCTCCCTGTAAAATTTCTGCACTGACTGGAATTTTTGAAAAAGTTGATTTTTGTCTTTTAAATTTTTGTGGCTATGGCTTTTGCAAAACAAAACAAAAAGGAAAGGAACAAGTTCTTATTTTGAAAAAGCCATTGGTTCGGTTGTCTGTGTTATTAAAAGAAGTCGTATGTTGCACCCATTCCAATGGAGATATTTTCAAGTTCATTAGAAGGGAGGTACTCCACATCCCACAGAAATGAGACAACCAATACTGAAAGAAAAAAAACAAATCAATTAAACCCTACGGTGAAAATGTTGCATTCAGTTTTTAATAAAGAAATATAAATTTGGTAAAATGAAGAGGAGAAGTAGCTTTATAGTTGATAATGGGTGACTGATGGCATCTGCTAATTTGTCTTAATCAGGCAGTGGTTTGGGGGCCTTCTCCAGAATGGGCTATAGTTGCATAGGCAACCTCAGTAAAGCACACATGCACACAAATAATTTGGTTTATCTATTTTTCAATAAAGAGCTACCTCACATTGACCTTTAATATTACAGCACTATGAAATTAAGCTCAGTACAAATACTGGTAGTCTATGGCATCTGGGTGAATATTACTACCGGGTTGCTTCAATTTTACATATTAAGATCCAAAAGATATTTTTAGCCCTTTTTAGGATAAAACTGGAGGTTATGTCATCAAATACGAAATATCTCTAACAACAGCATCATGACATAAGTAATTATGAAGTAATTAATGAATTTTGTTTATAGTCCAACATTATTTTTTATTACTTTAAATGTGATATTTAGTGCATGCACATGTTTGAGTAGACACCCAGCAGTAAATAATAATAATAAAGAAAATGATGGAAGGTGTATTCTCTTTATTAAGACTCTCAAATACACATGCTGGTAGACATTTACACTGTTTAAAAAAAAACAGGGATATCTACTCAAATACATATATTCAATAAATATAATGTTTAAAGTAATAATGCGTGTGTCTATGTGTGCAGTAGCAGACTGGCTAGGGTGTGAGCTTACCTGACAGCAAGTGGGTCCCCAATAGAGTGGGTCCCCCACCTATATCAAATAAAAAAAGCAATAAAGAAACACAGACAACTGTTTTATTAATTAGAAGGAATAAAAGCTTTATCAAGTCACCTGAACACTATTAGTTACTAAAGTCCAATGTGTGAGGACATTTTTTTTAAAGATTCTAAATGCAAGGTTAAGAAATTGGCTGTTTGAGGAGAATTTGGAATCATATATGTTGCTATCCGTTGAAAAGGAATTGTCAAATGAATCGGATTGCGGAGTGAGTGTAGATTAAATAAGTCTATTGCTCTCCCAGCAGTCACTTGTACAAATCACAATATCGCTGGTTCAATTCACCGTCCTCGCTTTCTTCACACGTCACTACGTATAGCCAACGTTTCTCTTTTTCTTTCATGGCTCCAGCACTCTTTTATCAGGCCAACACCGTGGTTCCCCAGCCAATCAGCGTTCTTCGCTGTTATTCTCGGTTACACAGGCAAATTGCCTCCTCCAGTTCGACCAATCAGCACACGACTTGCTATTGGTGGAAGCATTCCAAACTGTACAAAAAACCCTCATCCTTGCACATACTGCTAGAATGGCTGGACGGGAGAGTAATGCCATTTTCATGAAGCAAACTTGCTGATGTCACGTCCCACACATTAAGGTAAGACCCTTATTTTCCTATACACCAGATGCAAGCCACTCTGGCTCGCTTGCTTCTACGGGGCTGTTCACCACAGTGAGTAGCTATAGTCAAATGCAAAATAAACCACAGATCTCTCAATGAACTGACAAAATATTTGCAATAAAAAGAAAAAGGAGCAGGGCAAAAAAGAAATAATATCAAGCAAGCAGACAATATATGCAAGCCAAATTAATAGGTAAGAAGGCAATAAGTCTATAAACTAAGAACTGGTGTTGATGCACAAAAGCAAGTTCAGACAAGCGAATGTAACAGTCTCTCTCCTAGAGAAGACGGAGTCATATCAAAATGCAATCCAGCCTATTTTATTCGATAGGAAAAAATCCCAGCATGTATTTGTGTACCACAGTCTATAAAAAGGGAGGGGCAAATGTTTTGCTGTCATTCCTAACAGATTGAAAACAACAATTGCATGCAGAAGCAATTATTGGCAAATTCAAATAATCATCTACTGAACATAAATGATTGATCTTACAGTGGACTGCATAGAATTCTTTATTGGGATTCTGAACTATCTGTTAAGGTGCAAATTGTACAGTAAATTATTTAAAAATAAAAATTAAATTATAATAGTCTGGATTTACATTTGGTAATATGTACACTACATGTATATTGTAATTACTAAGAAATACACATTTTTTTCCATAAAAATTTTAATTTTACTCTTCTTTCCATGTATATTTTTTGAAAATTTTATTTATTCATTATGAAAATTAAATGATAGCATTGTAGTTATGGGTGGGTTCCCTTTATCTCCTAGCAACTAATATTCTGGGTGGGTTCCCTTTATCTCCTAGCAACTAATATTTTTAGACCCAGTCTGCTGATGTGTATGGATGTATGTGTATGTGTCAGTAGGATATAGAATAATATCTGAACAAAAGTGGAGAAACGAGAGAAAGGTTAACATTTTTTGCCCCTGTGTTCTAGATTGATGTCTTCAGCACTGTGACTTTTTTATTAAAGCCATTAACATCCGAGCACTTTTATTCTCACTATTAGCTTGTATACCACTGCATTGTGCTGCTATTGTTTTTGCTATTAACGGCTTTAATAATAAAAAAAAAACACAGTTTTTTCTTTCATTCTAAGCAGATAATGCCAATCTTGCATATGGAGGTGAAATGCATTGTCATTAAGAAAAGCTTTTACACTTTTTCTCATTTTTTTTTTACATTTCACCCCAAGCAAGGTGACATCAGAAAAATGTCAGCTGATATTACATTTGAATATTTGAAGATTATTGCTATCAGAAAAGCAAGCAAGAGGAAGGGAGTTTAACTGCTGGGAAGTGTGAGAGAAGAAGCTTTTGGTGTATGCACACACATAGACACACATTGCTTTGTGTGTCTATGTGTGTCAGTAACTCTGTAGCCTAATACAGTTATTATTTGAATACTGGTTTGAGATTTTCACTGTACAATATTCAATCTATGTGATTAATGGAGAAGTGCTTGGTTAAGTTCATTGTCAAGGAAGGAGATTATGTTGAAAAGTAATAGCTGGCAACTTGGTTTCGAGGATATCTGTCTAGTCAATCCCTATTGCAGATGCCTGCTCAGAGCCCACCTGTGGTTTATAATGCAATTGTGCTGAGCAGACCTTAGTTACAGAGAGTGTATTATCTAGTGTGATCAACAATCTGAGCAAGGCCAGCATGCTCAAACCCTCAGTCATGATGACTTGAGATAACAGCCATTGATGGCCCCCAAAGATACTGTCTACCCAATTTCACTCACAATAGCTGGGTCAACCTGTGGTATGGTTTTCAGGCACTTTTCAAAGGTGCCACATGCTGGGATTGCCCTACCCCTCAGACCGATAACATCAGGAAGACTTCTTCCTGCTAAATTAACAATGATGAGATTCAAACCTCGGTCTCATGGTCAGAACACAAACATTCTAACCAATCGGTCAAAGACCCCCCCCAAATTAAATGTTATATAAATGCTTTTTTTATCGTTAAGCTATGGACTTATTGACGAGAGAGAGAGAGAGAGAGAGAGATTTTTGTTTTAAGAAGAAAAAGCTTACATATTTCTCCCTGGTGTAAAGTTCCTGTGAGTTCTGAGCACAAACTTGAACATGGTTCTCTTGGTTGGAGGATGAAATTTATTTCTCCTTTGATCTGTGCCAAAATTACTAAAGGTGTTATCATATCAATCTGCAGAAAAAAGAAAAAAACCTATCAACTTTTATATTTTTTTTTTATCAAGATTATTTCATCTTTGAACGCACACCACTAAAATCATAGGTGGACAAACATTGTTTTGCTTATTTCAGCTGATATATATATATATATATATATATATATATATATATATATATATATATATATATATATATATAAGAGAATATAATAAAAACATGTTGAAATCGCTAAACAAAAGCTTTCATGTTTCAATACTTTGATTGTACTTCTTCAGGCGATGGTAAGTAACTGGTGATTAAATGATTTTTAAAGAAATTTAAAAACAAAGTGTTACCTCTTTTACAAAAGTTAAAAGGTTGGGAGAACATAAGGTCAGAATTAAAAATAGGGTATGTTTTGATTAACCAATTAAATATCACATCTATGCTAAATAGAAAAGTAAGCTCAGAGGGTGGAGGTGGGTGAGTTATTTTTTCATGTCATGATAAATTGGAACATAGACACGCCATCATTGAAAATATGTCAGCAATAAATGTATTGTGATTGCAGACAAATATGACAGGTTCAATTTTTTAAAAGGCTGTTGAAGGGAGGTGTAAGTTAATCAGATGTAAAGTTAACAGGAAAAATTTAAAAAGAAATTTTTTTTAGATCAGGAAGTTTCTTAAAGGGGCCTGTAGATAAAATTAAAAATGTGGAATATCTATATAAGATATTAATAATACTATCTGGACAGCAATACATAACAATATTAAAGTTTTATAAAAAAAAATAAGGTAGAGGGTGGACCATAATATACTAATAAATTATGGCTATAAGAAATGGTAATACATAATTCTTTTAAAATTTAACTATATTTTAAGGTAAAAGATAAACTGTAATTTACAGTTAATTCACTCCTATGGTTTAATAGAGATGTTTTGTCAGCAAATTTGATGATTTCTAATTTTTCATGTAAACATAAGAAACATGGTTCATTTAAAGATTTACAAGTTCTAATTTTTTTTTTAGTATTTTCCATTTTACTGTAGGGCTTTCATTAACATCTTTTAAGTTCCAAAAATATTTAGACCTAGTTAATACTGTATTCCAACCCTACATGAAAACAAATACTAATCCAATATATATCTACCCAAATTCTAACAAGTATCACATTCACTTTCATCCTGGAATTTTACCTGAAATTGAGAAAAAAATAACATCTATGCCTGAGGATGGTAGATGATGTTTTTACCGAAAGTACTTGCAAGCAATATGGACTGAACATCTAATCCATTGTACAATTAATAAAAGCAAGGATCGTGTTGTTCAGCAAGTGGTCAGTACCTTCTTAATCTCTTAGCAAAGTGAGTTTGCCATTAATAACATTAACTTTATTGATTTATTCTTTGAATGACTATTTTTATATATATATATATATATATATATATATATATATAGTAAAATTATATATAATTTTTTTATATATTTCAAGCACAATTCTAGGAAAAAGCTAAGAAACCTAAATCTAAGTGTCCATCGCAAATCAACAAATAAAAACGATCTTATTAATTTCTATTCTCCCCATAACAACGAAATAAAATCTGTAATAATCATTGTATTCTATTTAAGAGCAAACAGAATTTGCAGCCCTCAATATTTACATGAAGAGAAATACATTGGAAATACTTTTAAGCTCCTCCAATACCCTAATTATTTCATATTCAATGCAAAACAAAAGGTTTGTAAGATATTTTAAAATAGAAAGTGGTCTTTCCTGAAACCCAATGAATCAAAATATATTGTTCTGCTCAACACTTTTAGTACAACTATAATTGAAAAAATGTTTTCCAAAATCAACATAAAAGTTGTCACAACTACATCTAAAACAATAAAAGACTTATACAAAACAAAATAATAAGTTAAAACTTGAAGGAGGAATTTATTCTAATTGCCACTTGGGATACATTGGAGAAACCTCAAGGAATTTAAGTAAAAGATTATATGAACACAAAAGGGATCTTTTACAAAACAACACATAAAATGCATTATTATAACAGTTCTCTATTCTTGGCAGATCTATAGATAGAAGATATTTAATAACAAAAGTGATGAAAATATGAATAAAAGAAAAAGAGATTAGCTACCCAAAACATATATTTAAAAAAAAAAAAAAATTAATTTAAATTTAAGATTTCTAGTGTCACGTCTTTATGTGCATATGTAGTAACATTAACGTAAAAATCACTTTTGTCTAGTGAGAGGTAAGGAGTAAAGCAGAGAGGGTGAGAGGTAAGGAGGTGTTGTGGAGTAAATAAGAAACCCCCGGTAACACAAATGAACTAGGCAAGATGCCTAAAATAAAGAACAGAGTCAGTCAAGGGGTGTCCATTAGAGCCAGATGAGTAGAATTACTTATGACATCACAGCGAGTAGCCTAAGTGAGGCATAATATTGTAACTGTTAGGAGTGAGTTATAACAGATCGAAACTCATATGGAGTAGGAAAAATAATTTTGTTTTGTTTTGGTGCTCATGATAACAGTGGTGATGAGAAATCAGAACCACATTGGCTATTTTTTTTTTCTTTGGTGTGTGTAAAAAAGAAAATAAAAGAGAATGATGGGAAAAAAACAAAAAAAAAAAAAAACATATTTTTTTTTACATATGGAAGAATTATTAGCCCAATTGGTAAAAATACAACAGCAGTTGTTGGAACTCCAGAAACAACAGCATAATGTAATTGAAATAATACAGAAGAAAATGGAAAATTTGTCAAGTTCTTTCACTCCTGACATGATGGCAAATGCCATAGCTGAATTCACATACAATTATGATGATGGAATTACTTTTTTGCTTATTTTAGAGGATATGAGGACATTTTCAGAGAAGAATGTAGTGATTGGGAAGACACAAATAAAACAAAACTTTTGTTGAGAAAATTAGCACCGACAGAACATGAAAAATACTGTAATTTTGTGCTACCGAAAAACAGGAGAAATTTGCTTTAAAGAAACAGTAAATATTTTGACTAAAATTTTTAATGAGAGTTTTGTTATTCAATACTCATTGGAAGTGTATGAATCTGATGACAAAAGATGATGAAGATTTTGTCACATATGCTGGAATCGATAACAAGGAGTGTAAAAGATTCAAATTAAATTGAACTGATTCTAGATATGTTTAAAGGGTTAATTTTCATTCAAGGTTTTACAGCAAAAAAACACAAAAATACAAGCTAGAATTCTAATGAAACTTGAACAGAATAAAAAAACTAACACTACAAGAAGTATCAGATGAATGTCAGAGAATCCTAAATCTGAGATGCGATGCGAAGAAATTGAAGAAAAAGAATGCGCATACATACAGGCTAAATAAAAATGTGGAAAAAGAAAAATTAATCCATGTTTCAGATGTAGAAGGTTACATATCGGAAACAACTGTCTCTTTAAGAATTCAAAGTGTTACAAGTGTGGAAAAGTAGGACATAAAAAGTTACATTGTAAAGCTAAATCAAAGAAAAGTTCTCACAGAAAAAAATGTCAGTCACACACTGTTGTGATGGAAAAGTAATTACAGAAAACCAAAGAAAATTTGTGTATGTGAAAATTAATAATGTGGACATAAAAATGCAACTAGACACTGGTAGTGACATAATAATCAACGAAGCCAAATGGAAAGCAAATGAAAAACTTATAGTGCCATAATCTCAGTTAACAGTACACAATTCAATGCTTACAAATTTAAAGAATTTTGTAAAACATTCTCAGTTGAACATAGTACTACCCAGCTATATCACCCAAGTAAAAATGGACAAGCTGAACAGTTTGTGGGTACTTTTAAGAGAGCTTTTTAAAAAAGCAAGTAATGAAAAAGTGAGTGAAGAAGCACTGCAAAAATTCTTGAAAGTATACTAGATAATGCCAAATCCCAATACACCGGTAGAATAGATTTTCACAAAAAAAAATTATATCAGTGTTTGACAAGTTGTTACCAGGTTAAAAAATAATAAGAATGGATAACAAAAAGGAAACAAAATTTTTCAAAATTGGTGAAAATTTGTTTTTCAAAGTATATAAAAATGGCAAAGAAATATGGGAAGATGGCATTATAAGGTCACGAATTGGAAAAATGATATATATGGTTAAAGTAAAAAACAGGAACGCAAACGGCATTGGAATCAGTTAAAGAAAAGGTTTACTGAAGAAAGGCCCCCAAGAAAGGAAGAACCTATGCAAGTATTTTATGATATTTTTGACGTACCAAAACCCCATGAATTTGTTGAATGTACAAGAATGATTACCAGAAAAAGAAAACATACGGAAAAAACTAGAGGTTGGCCTAAAACAAAAGAAATACAAAGTTCAGTATGTGGTGAACTCTCCAGAAAGAGGAGGAGGATGAATACTAGAAAATAAAATATTTACATATAATATATACTCAAAAGCCGGGATGTTGTGGAATAAATAAAAAAAAACACCAGTAACACAAATGAACTAGGCAAGATGCCTTAAATAAAGAGGTGAGAAAGTGAGAGGTAAGGAGGAGATCAGAGAGGGTGAGAAAGTGAGAGGTAAGCAGAAAAGAAGAGAGGGCGAGAAGAGGTGAGCAAGTGAATGAGAGAGATATTTTTCTTTCAATAATACAATTTTATCCATCAATGCCAACTGTTAAATAAGTAGAGGAAGGATTGTAATTAGATTTATAAATTAGTGACTGGTTGAATATTTAAGACTGTCATTGACCATTTACTTACCGGTTTGTATGTTTTGCCTTTAAAACCTGAAGAAATGTACACCCAATTTGTGTTATCCATTTGAACAACTGGCGGAAGAAATTCCGGTCTTGTGTAGTGTTCTCGTAGAACTTTGGCAGCAGAAATAAAACAGTTTTCCCTGAGAAATAAAAAATAAAAAAACAACTTATTAATTATATGTTGTAGGAAAAGATTAGTTGATTAATTTCTATGGCTTATTTAAAACAAATCAATCAATCTTTTTTTTCTCTGCTCTCCTCCTTACCTCCCACTCTCCCACCTCTTCTTCTCACCAGCAGGTTATTTAAAGCCAAAAAATATCTTTAGATTGTCAGAATATTTTTTTCTAAATAATAATGGTTTAGTGATACAAGCCTTACTAATTAAACCATAACAGGGAGAGAAGAGATGAATTCATACCTAATCAGAATTTGATAAACAAACAAGAAATTGTAATGTGGATATAAAATGGGTGATCAATTCTATATTAAATCATTATGTAAAGTGACACCTTGATTTGTGGCCACAGTAGTTTATATACATTAATATCCCATAGAATGTAAATAAATCTAGAAGTCATACCTTTGTAGCTAATCAGTGATTGATTGATTTGTTTTTTACGGCTTGCAGGTTATTCAAAGCCAGAAAATATTTTTAGATTGCAAGATTTGTTTTTGAGATAATTTTTAATGATACAAGTTTTACTAATTAACCCATAGCTGTGGGGAGAAGAGGTGGATTCATACCTAATCAGAGTAAGTCATTAACATTAAGTAGTGTGGAATGTCAAGAGTTTTTCTTCTCCTAGATTGGTTGGGGTATTTATATATCCAATAGAATCAAAAGTGTTAATCATAAAATTATTAATTTTTTTTCACTATGATTTTTCATAAATATTTTTTAACTTTGACTAAAAAATCAAACCACATATTAGAAACATCTGTAAATATATAAGTGTTGAAACTTGAATAAAGCATGGAATAATAATAATACAACACAAAATGTACTTAAACAAAATGTATTGAAACAAGAACGTGTACACAATATTACAGATAGTTTGGTATATTCTTGGGAAGCCCGTTCCTGTAGAATGGGTTGACTTAGTCGCAGTCGGGCAGAGTCTCTGGATTGGATCTCTTCTTCCTCACCCGTCTTCCCGGTACCAACCATATTTATATGGTCGGTACTCCACTATGTAAATTAGGTGGATTGTACCACAACACCCCCCCTCCCAAGCCTTGGAATCCCTTTTGGATTTCAAATTGGCTTCCTATATGGGTTGATGATTATGGCTATTTCTTTGTAGATCCATTTGCCTAATTTTAATATTTTTTCCGTTTTGGATTCACGTCCAATGGGTCCGTGAACTTCCGTTTCCTACCGGATCTTCTTGGTTCAGGAGTATTCTGTAGAGGTTCTACCTGAAACATATCATACATTATATCAATGGGATCTTCATCCTCATCCGGTATACTCTCTTCATGCTCTATACCGTAATATTTTTTAAGTTGGTTCTGGTGCCTTTTATGAGTATTCTTTGGCCCTTTAATTATGTAAATCAGGTCACCGATTCTCTTGTCCACTATGCCTCGCTCCCAGAACTCAACATTGTTTTTGTAGCACTTGAAAAACACCTTCTCTCCGGGAGTGTATCTTTTTCTTGCTGTATACATGGTATTCTTTACTCTATTTTTCCTGGCAAAAGCTTGTCAAACACTGACTTAACTTTCCTAGCGAACATTAGTTCAGCTGGTGCCATGTTTGAGTGTGTTCTCTGGTTTGGCGTGATTCTGTATACTTGTAAGAATTGCTGAATTTTTTTCCGTTGGAACTCCTGAGGCTTTCTTCAGAGCTCGCTTTAAAGTATCGACAAATCTTTCTGCGTGTCCATTAGACCTCGGATGATACGGAGGCGTCGTTATGTGGTTAATTTGATATAACTCACAAAATTCCTTAAATTCTTCCGAAGTGAATTGTGTACCATTGTCACTCACAATACACTCTGGCACACCGAACCGTGCAAATAGTTCATGCAAAAAAGTTGTTGTGGTATTGGATGTAGGCTTTTTACAGCGTAGTACTTCCGGCCATTTTGTAAAACTATCTACCACTATTAAGTAGTAAAAATCTTCTACTGGACCAGGGAAATCAATGTGTAATCTTGTCCATGGATGATCCGTCTTGGGCCATGGTTTGTGTACTATAGGTGGTGCCTTAGCTGCTAACGCACACCCTTTACATCGATGAACCATGTTTTCGATATCCACATCCATTCCTTTCCAATACACAAAGCTTCGCATTAAGCTTTTTGTTCTATTAATACCTGGGTGACCCATATGAAAATCCCAAGTATTCTTTTCTGCAACTTTTTTGGTATTACTACTCTCTCACCATATAATAAAACTCCATCACCTATTGAAAAATCTCCTGCACTTTTTTGGTCATTTGCTACCATTTTGCCTTTTATTTCTAAAATGAAATCATCGCTTTCAGCTTCTTTTTAATTTTCTTTAGAGTAACGGTAGCTCTCTTACAATGTTGTTTACCATGCTTTTCACCTCATAATCTGCTCTGATATTTGCAATAATTGATTCTTGAATCTTTCTTCTTGACTCGGTACTAGTCTTGATAAACTATCCGCATGAATTATATTTTTGGATGATAGGTGCTTTATGTGAAAATCATAATTGAGAAGAATGGTTCCCCATCTTAACAGACGATTTTCTGTATAAACGGGTAACCCTTTCTTTGAACCAAAAATAGTGATCAGTGGTTTATGATCCGTTTCAAGCATAAAATGTCTGCCGTGGATGTACCTGTGAAATTTTTGTATGGCAAAAATGATACTCAGTGCCTCTTTTTCTATCTGAGAGTAACTTCTTTCTCCTGGGAGCAAAGTTCTCGAAGCATGTGCAATTGGTTTTCTAGAACCATTTGGCATTATGTGTTGAATACACGCTCCTATCCCATATGAACTAGCGTCACTTGCCACTACAATATCAAGTTTTGGATTGTAATGGGTTAAAAAGAGGTTGGACGTAAGCATTTTCTTTATTTCATCAAAGGCTTTCTGACATCCTACCGTCCATTCCCATGCCTTGTCTTTTTTTAGCAGTTCATTCAATGGAGCTCTTAAATTGTACATTCCTTTAATGAACGCTTGAAGCCCTAGAAAACTCTGTAGCATCGCCACATTAGTAGGCGTCGGCATGTCTCTAATCGCAATGGACCTTTCCGGATCTGAACATCTGCCATTTTTGTTGATTATGTGCCCTAAATACTTAATTTCCTCCAAACCAAATTCGCACTTTGACTCTTTGACTTTAAATCCAAAGTCCTGAATCTTTTTAAATATTTGATTGAGATGCTCTCGATGTTCGTTGACGGGTTTTCGCTCCTTACTATGATGTTGTCTAAGTAAGCGCCACATAAAGTCTAAATCATTCAACATGACGTCCATAGCTTGTTGAAAAATGGCTAGTGCCACTTTAATACCAAAAGGAAGCCTGTTGTACATTTGAATAACCCTCTATGCGTGTTTATCCCTAGTAACTTCGAACATTCCTCTTCAACGAGAATTTGGAGATAGGCATCTGATAAGTCGATTTTCGAAAATATAACTCCACCATTTAGCTTGTTAAAAATCTCCTCCGGACTCGATAACGGGTATTTATATATCCAATAGAATCAAAAGTGTTAATCATAAAATTATTAATTTTTTTCACTATGATTTTTCATAAATATTTTTTAACTTTGACTAAAAAATCAAACCACATATTAGAAACATCTGTAAATATATAAGTGTTGAAACTTGAATAAAGCATGGAATAATAATAATACAACACAAAATGTACTTAAACAAAATGTATTGAAACAAGAACGTGTACACAATATTACAGATAGTTTGGTATATTCTTGGGAAGCCCGTACCTGTAGAATGGGTTGACTTAGTCGCAGTCGGGCAGAGTCTCTGGATTGGATCTCTTCTTCCTCACCCGTCTTCCCGGTACCAACCATATTTATATGGTCGGTACTCCACTATGTAAATTAGGTGGATCGTACCACAACAATAAGATAGTGAATTTTTAAGTAGATCTTTTCAAGAAAGTTCATAGGAATTCATTTAAAAAAAAATATTATAAACTCACCAATGAGCATAATAACTTGGTATGTCCCCAGCGGCTGCTTTTTTCAGAAAGATTTTTTGCTCTTCAAATTTGGTCCGAAGATTGCTACGGAAAGAGCAGGGGCTATACATTCTTAAGACAGGATGTGTTCTGTAAAGCTGAAAATATAAGATTCCAGAAGAAAAATAAGAACCAAAATATCAAGATTGCTTAAGGTGTGAAACTGCCAGTCACTATACAGTGTTGAAGAATATGTCCATAATCTATACTATCTCTGATATTGACCACTCTTCCCTCCATAAGTATACTAATAAATTTTAAACACTGATATATATATATATATATATATATATATATATATATATATATATATATATATATATATATATATATATATGAAATAAAAAATATAAGTAACTGTATACATGTGTGCTGGCTTGTATACACAGGTAAGCAAATAAATAATTACCAAATTTTGCCAAGAGGTATAAAAATAATAGTGCTCAATGCAAACATAAACCCTGCTTGGCAGTTGAACTAGTAGCATATATTTCCCTACTGGCGTGAAAACTCAATATGATAAAAAAAAAAACAGAAAATAATATATAAATCATAGATAATAGGTGTTGGGGGAAGCTGATTTACTACTCCTATGAAGGACAATAATTCAAAAATACAACTGAATTACTTCCCTTGTCCGCTCGTCAGAGTGTGGCACTTCTGAATTAAATATGGTGATAACCTGACACACATGTGGAATTCATGGATTCAATCCAAACAAATCCTTACTGTTCTCAGGCAGTAAATGAATAAAAATGGTTTTATAATGTGTTAAAATAAACTTGTCTTTCAGTTTTGTTTTTGCTCATCTCAACAACCTGGGATACAACACTAGATATAGTGTGGAAAATTTCATGGTTTTCTGATTTGAATTTTTAAATGAATCATGATTATTAAGTTAATAACTGTCAACTATAAAATACCCATGGAATTTCATCTATTGCCTTGTTAAATATTTGAGCTTAACAACTTTAACAAAATATTGCAATAGCAATGAATGCAGGTCATTAAAGAAGTAAGAGGGTACAAATGAAAAGATTTGAAATTGACAAGTTTTTCCATTTCATTGAAGCAGACATTAAATGCATGAGAGCATTATTGCTTCCCCCTATCTTCTCTTTCTTTCTTATTATTATGAATGCTGTCTTTTTCATGCTAAAAGCAAACAGAGTCTCCGATATATGATTTTCTCATCTTTCCTCACAATCAAAATGAAATGGTCCATTATTTATCTGAGGCAATGGCAGGATGTGACACAAACAAAGAACAAGCAGGATTACAATATAACAAACAAAGAACAAGCAGGATTAGAATATGATGTTCAATGTCAGCTAAATGAAGTTAAAAATTGTTTGGCAATTAAGAAAAAGCAAAAAAGAAGCCATATAAGAAGCAAGCAAGCTCTTCAGAAGAGAGAAAAGATCAATTATTAGGAATTGAGATTGCCAATCTGTAGATATAGTTGATACAATGGTAATGGTAATATTAGCCGTTTCCTTATAAGGAAACTTTAGGCATTCAATGACTGAGAAACCAGTACTGCTTTCAGCTGAGATTTATAAAATCTTTCTCTTAAAACAATTTTTCACAAAAATAGGTTTCTCAAGTCCAGTAGCTGTTATCGCTCTTTCCATTATTGATGGAGGTTTCTTTCCTAAACTTTTATTTGAAGTAGTGTGGAACGTCAACATCTTATGTCATTATTTTCTCTATGAGTTACATGTGCTGTCCATTTTAGTTAACTGCTGCTGATGGAATTCCTGAAGTGAGGTGGCTTTTGTTATTTGGTACACTTCTTTGTTTGTGATTCTGTAGCACTAGTCCACAAAAAAGTGGTGTCTTTGCCAAGATCTGCAGACTTCACTTTCTAAAAGCCATTTTTAATCAATGATCTGAGAAAGCAGTTGTATACACTTGACAGTTTGGATATTTCTGAATAAGTTTGGGTGCCATGCATGATATCCACAATAAAGTCTCAATCTGATGAGGTTATTTCACTTATCATTCTGCATTATTAATATTACTTCACTTTCCACTGCATTCTTTTTCAAGGACTTTCAATTGAAGTATTCTTATTGTTAATTTCACTCAAAGGTGTTTTCTGTTGCCATAGCAGGATATGACAATACAACCATAAAATTAAAACAAATGGAGTCACATACAGAATGATAAGGGTTAAGAACTTGACTTGAGTTTAGAGGTTAATGTTTTGTTTTTGTAGCAATTTGTAGTGTAGGTTGCAACTACCCCTAATGGAGACTATTCTATGTTCAATTTCCTGATTTCTGATACTAAATTTGTTACAACTGATCCAAGGTATTTGAAGAGTTTGGTATTTACTAATTCCACATCTGATGTTGCTGGATGATCCGAGTGAAGAAGAAAACAAAATTTATCATGTTGGTATAAAGAATGAGGTCACATGGACAGCTTAAGAATAAGTTCAAATCCAGATAAGGAAAAAATGTGGATTTGTAAGATGGATACAATGAAAAAGGACATTAGTTTGGCTTGTATACTGAGGTGTTAGAGAAAATGTCAATGAGAAGGAACTAACATTTGAGTTAAAAACTGAATGCTTTACTTAATTTCCTGCTTTAAGAATTGAAAGGCTGGAATTCATTCCTTGCTTCTATTAAGGTTTTGGACATGTTTTCTAATTTTGTCTTCTCTCTATATAAAACACTATGAAAATTTATTTTGTTTCATAGATTTGCTACTTTTTTGTTGTTTAATCTTAAAACCTGCCTGGTGGCTGAACTAGAAGCATATATTTCCCCATTTGTTCATGAAGCTAGGTAAAATATAGATTTTCAAAGCAGGTAGAAATTTCTCACTTAGAAAATTGTGATAACATCCTGCTCTTTCCCAGATGACCTTGTGTCAGATTACAACTGATAATTTATGTTTAAATTTCTGGAATGAGGAGTTATCATTATTTACACTACTTATAATTGGACTATTGGTGGCCACAACAGCCAAAATGTTGTTGTTACAACAAAAGATGAGGCCAATAGTCCGTATGTAAATAGTGTAAATAATTACCACTGATAAATATATAATTAGAATTTAACAATTATAACATACAGTAATTTTATAATTCCTGACCACTGACAATCCCTTTGTTCCTGATTTTCAATGTACACCTATAGTAAAACCATTAACATTGCATTTACATTATACATATAATAGCAATAATCTGAAAGTAGTACTTGCATTAATTCCTGACCTCTGATAATCTTTTTCTTCCTAATTTTCAATACATTCTTCTATGAGAAGAATGTATAGAATGTATTTATATTATAAATCTGTTTTGTTTGTAATGTTTGCATTAATTCCTCATAACCCATTTCTGATTTTCAATACACATGTATAGTAATATAATTAGCATTACATTTATATATATATATATATATATAAAATAGTGCTTTTTTTTCAGTAGTATTATCTTAATTCCTGGCCACTGACAATCCCTTTCTTTATGATCTTCAATTCATAATAAACAGACTGGCTACGGAATTTCACAAAGTGTTTAATCGTCAATTTTTGCTGCTTCTACCACAAAATTTATCTTCTTCTTTATGCAAGAAAATGTCCAAAATTATGTAGTGCTGGAGTAGAAGTAAACACAGTGGACTGTGATAAATAAAACTGGAGCCTTGACTTCCAATGCAGATCTTGCCAAAGCACAATTAGGATTTGTGCTTCAGTTTTTCCAATGTATAACTATATATATATATATATATATATATGTTAAGAAATGGACAAGGTCCGACAATTTATTTATTAAAGACATTTTTTATGTATGAAATAACAACGTTAAACATAAAAAATGTCTTTAATAAATATATATATATATATATATATATATATATATATATATAAGCTGTTGACACAATTTGTTTTATTTGTTTAATAAATCTTAACATTTTGTATCAATGGCCATGCAAAGAGTATTAAAATAAACTGTAATGCATTTCTGTAGTAAAATCATTTAAAATACAAAACTGAAGTAAAATCATTTGCAATGCAACATCATAATAAAATCATTTGCAATGCACTTCCATTGTAAAACCATTTACAATGCATTCCCGCAGCAAAATAATGCTCAGCAAGGTTGTCTGAGATCAATTGCAACTGAATTGTGAGTTTTATCCTCACTGGATGTTCCATACTTTCGGCTTTGTGCCATATTGAAGTTATGCCTAGAAAAATCACCATTCTGGCAGCAAATTCATTTGCAATGCGTTTCTGTTGTAAAATCACTTACAATATGTTCCCAGAGTAAATGACTGTTATACATATGTCATTCTACATGTAATTAAGAAAGATTTTAACAGATTTGCTTAAGCAATCCTCCCTTTTATATTATGGGTTACATAAACAACTAGAATATTTAATAATTAAATTATCCCTGCCCATTTAATAAGTAATGGTCAGTTGTTCAAATTTAAAAGAGATGAATATATTCCCTATTCTGACAAAGAAAGTTTCTGTTGGTCTCCATGGCAAGGAGGCTAACTAACCTGGTCAAGGTATTTAATGGTGAAGTTTTCAGACAGAGACTCAGGTTCAATCCCATCAGTAACAATAAAGGGTTTGTCATGATTGAGAAATTTTTCCACAACTTCAGATGAGTTGATATTCTTCACTCGAGGGATGGTGTCAAAGCTTTCACAGACCTGGGAAAAAAAGAGAGAAAAAAAAAGTACAAATTAATAGAAATAAAGAAAAAAAAATGAGAGCACAATTCTTATTATAGAATCCTTATATTTGTATTGATGATGGATTCTGTTGTTGATAATGACAAATGAAGGTTTGATAAAAAAGGCTTTTGCACTTAAGAAAAAAATTGCCTGTAAAAATACTGAAGAGTTAAAAATGCTTCTTTTCATGGTGGACAAGTTCTGCCTTAATGTGTGCAATGAATCCACATTGACTTATGAAATCTGTTCTTGCAGGATAAAGATGATGTAGCTACTTCAGATTAGCCCAAAGTTTATCAAGACGTTCCAGTATTTTCTCTTTAAAAATCTAAGCTTGTGAAACAAGTGGTTCTCTATTTTTATGATTTTTCACTATATTTTGACATCAACTAAGATTAAAGCACTTGACATTAGCCTGCAGTTAACACAATAGTGGATGGTCTATAGGATATTTGCTATTCCAAAGTTGGCCATAGAATACCCGTTTTGAAACCTTGGGGCTTACAGCAATATATTGAAATACCAACTTTCATACAATAACCAAAGTTAAGCAATGTCAAGCCTGGTCAGTACCTAGATGGGTGACCGATTGGGAATACCAGGTGCTGTAAGCTTGGATGTGCGGGTGGTGTAATGAATAATGACCCGGAATTGTTAATTAGAAAGCCAACTTTCAATTCCAGTTGGGTTCATTATATATTCACTCACGCGCAAATACCAGTGGGAAAGGCAGAAATTCACCTCTTTTCCTCCCAGCTACGAATTAATTAGTAGTTAAAAAAAAATTCTTATAATTTAAAAATATTTTCTGGCTTTAAATAACCTGTAAAATGTTGACAAGCCATAGGAAAACAAGTCAATCAAAACCTTGGCAACATCCATGCATGTGGTGTGAATGGAGAAAGGAATTATGGGTAATAGGGTCAATAAAAGAAAAAGAGAGAAAAAAGCCTGATCAGTACTCATTATTTGTTTTTCTCAGCTGGTGTGCAGTCGAGACGTATATTGAGTGTAGTTGAAAGAAAGGTAAATTAAAAATAAAAGGATAGAGTTTCAGGAAGTGAAAAGGAATTTTTGTTACAACCAGTTTGAAATGGAACCAGAAAGAAAGGAAGGAAGGAAGCATGTGAAAATTGCTTCTGAATGTTTCCATGCCAATTGTATGATATCCAGGCAATATGTTGCCATTTCTTACTCTTTTGTTTAATTTAATAATGAAAGAATAAGAAGATATATTGAATTTTGGGGAGAGGTGGAGGTTGAGTGAAATTTAAAACTTTTCTATATTCTTTTTGTTTGCTTTGTAGAAGCAACATGTTTCATAATACAGGAGGTCCATAAAATCTCTTTACAATTTAAAAAATATATTACAATGGCAACTGACAAGATTTCTTAATCAGATTTGTTCTACCCTGGCCCACTAATATATACGGCCCTATATGTCACATTTTAGGCTAATAGTCAATTTATGTCTTTTTTGGCTAAAACATGTTAAAACCATCCCAAAATACACAAACAGGTTAGGTTTTTTTTTCTTTTTTTAAACAGAAAAGTAATAATGAAAGATTGTAAGCAAACAAAAAAAGTTATTAAAGAATTAAGCAGTTAATATTCCCAAGTGAATTAAGTGCATTAACAAGGAATATTTATTGTGCTAAATTAATGCTTTGTTTTCAACATTAAGCTATAGATTTACTGACATGGGCGATCATGGCTCTCCACAGCTTCTATTGGTTGTTATTATTTATGAATTGTCATAACTGCTTGGGAAAGATAATGGAGTGGTTTACTATCATCAGTCATTAGGAGAGATTTATCTATAGCCATGACAATTTCTCATGCTTTTTCTTCCAAGAGTGTCAGTGGTATATCTTGTCTTGTTTTGTTCATTTCAGTAAATATTTGCCATAATTCAACTTCCACTTTCTATTGTGAATAGTCTTTGTTGCCAAATGTTTGTGGATGTTTGTAAGTAGTCATCTTTAATGCTCTGCTACCGTTGATAAGAGCCCAGGTCTGGTTTAAAATGACTGTAGTTCCTCTAGGCAAGTCAAAGTTAATATAGTTATTACTGTAAAAAATACAATAATTGTGGCACATGGCTGAAGGGGAAGTGGGTTAAGGCTGGTCAACATTATCTATCCTAGACTTAGCCAATCAGATTCACGACCCATTCATCCAATACATTTAAACCAATTACCACAAGAACTCATTCATCGCTATTCAATCCTTCATATACCACAATACCACATATGCACTGAGGACCTACAAAACACTCCATGATATAAAAATTTCATGAAACTTCATAAGAAGAAGTGGATAATCCTTTCCCTTTTGCCTTCCTCAAAGGATTTAAATGATTGGCCTCACTAAAACAATAGTTTCTTCATAAATCTCTTTAAATGAAAACTGTACCACTAATCTTTTTTTGGGAATGCAGAGCCAAAATCATATTTTCAAATTTCATGACTAATTTTTCATTATTATAATTTAAATTGTACCCTGGAGTTTTAGTCATTCTACAAGTGCATGGTCCTGAACAAAAAAAAGGTTGAGGAACACTGTATTGGACAAATAGAAATCAACTTTTCCTTTATAGAAATTTTTTTTTAATCAATGAAAAATAGATCAGACTTCAAAAATTTATTGAAAATATTTGCTAAAAATTTTATTTTGGAAGAAAAGGAAATTAAAAGATGAAGCTGATAATGATGATGACGAGGAGGATGAGTATTTTTCAATATTGAAATTGAAAGCTCTAGACCAGATTGTGTCGCTGATTCAGTTGGGATCTGGAAGATGAGCCTGATTCAGTTGAGATCTGGAGGATGAGCCTGATTCATTTGGGATCTGGAGGATAAGCCTGATTCAGTTGGGATCATGAGGATAAGCCTGATTCAATTATGATCTTGAGATATCTGATTTAGCTATGATCTGGAGACAAGCATGATTTAGCTATGATCTGGAGACAAGCATGATTTAGCTATGATCTGGGGATAAGCATGATTTTTCAATGAATCTTTTGCAATTCAGTCATTTTTATAATTCAGACAGAATCATGTTCTGTCCTCTGAATTCATAAAATTTCTATTCATTAGTCATCCAGAAATTCTCTCAGTCAAATCTTTAACCCTTAAATGACGATGAGAAAAACATCAATGTCATGAGTCAACACAATGATAAACAAAAAATATTTCATCTTGTGCTGTAGGGAAAGATCAAAGCTATCCCAAAATAAAGGTCAACTACACAGTTTGAGTCTCCGATGTTGGTCCTAAATTACAACTAACCTATAATTATTAAGAAAATGTTTAGCAGAGGATTTGTTAGTGATATCCAATAATAACTAATTAGCAACTATACTGAATACAAGGAATTAATGATTATCCTTTATATTGATCAGAAAGCAGAGAAAATGTACTTATTAGAAATCAATCAGAAGGTCATTTCAATTTTTACAGAAATATTCATCAGAAAAAAATAAAATCTTTTTTACAAAAACATAATGAATAATGAGACTGAGTGAAACAATAATTTTGAAAATCAAAAACTTTATTCCACAATTGTTAACCATATTAAAAGTCTCAGAAAATTGTGGAATAAAAATTTTGAAAATCAAAAACTTTATTCCACAATTGTTAACCATATTAAAAGTCTCAGAAAATTGTGGAATAAAAATTTTGAAAATCAAAAACTTTATTCCACAATTGTTAACCATATTAAAAAAGTCTCAGAAAATTGTGGAATAAAAATTTTGAAAATCAAAACTTTATTCCACAATTGTTAACCATATTAAAAGTCTCAGAAAATTGTGGAATAAAAATTTTGAAAATCAAAAAACTTTATTCCACAATTGTTAACCATATTAAAAGTCTCAGAAAATTGTGGAATAAAAATTTTGAAAATCAAAAACTTTATTCCACAATTGTTAACCATATTAAAAGTCTCAGAAAATTGTGGAATAAAAATTTTGAAAATCAAAAACTTTATTCCACAATTGTTAACCATATTAAAAGTCTCAGAAAATTGTGGAATAAAAATTTTGAAAATCAAAAACTTTATTCCACAATTGTTAACCATATTAAAAGTCTTAGAAAATTGTGGAATAAAAATTTGAAATACTGTCAAAATTATTTGTTTGTGGAGAAAAAAAGACAACTGTCCTCTCAGTTACAAACTTTGTATCTACAACTGAAAGACTTGTTTTTTTAATCATTTCACCCCAATCAAGACAATAAAGCCACTAAAATGCATGTTTGATCATTATACCATCAGCAAAGTGACAAGACTATATATTAATAAACTATATACAAAGAATAGAAATGTCAAACATAAATTCTGACAAAAGCAAGCAATTACTTAATTACAAATGAGAAAAGAATTTTTTTTTGTTTTCATATTGAAGTTCTGGTGTGATAGATATGGCTTGTAGTTTGGACAACCCTACCTTGAATCATGGGACCAAAGAAACAGTTATTGATAATTTTTTCTTAATACTATTCTTTGAAAAAGGGTGTTGATGACATCACACCTTTTGTTTCTATTCTAAATTCAATAGGTAAGCCTAGACATTTATTACTTACTTCACAGTCTTCTTCCTTAAGTTCCTGGCCTTTGAAATATGGGTTCACTACCAGACACTCTCGGTCGTACATTGTAGTCCAATCCCACAATGGTAAGAGCTACAAAAATAATCAAAATAACAATAAGAAATTTGAGATAAAGCAGAATGAATCAAGCTGTAAAACTGAGGGTTTTTAGGGATGGTTTAATTTGTATCTTGCAGTCATGGCTCAAGGTACTGGCAACTCAGACATATCACCTGGGGTGCCATCATGCCACCAATGTCATGAGTTTGGGATCTTCTGAACAAAAAGGAAAAAAAATGTGAAAATAATAGATAAAAATCAAAATATTGTCGAACTGAACCCTTTATTTCGCTCACTGGGGTAGACTCTTCTCGTTCCATGGGCCATGTTTAATGGATGTCAGTTATCAGTTATCTCCTGTTAATTCCCCTCTCCAAGTTCTCCACTGCTTTAACTGGGTATTGAACTTACACTCTTTGGGTCTTGTCAGTGGATCTAACCAATGCCTTTATCCACTGTGCTTTGAATTATATATTTACTAATGCACTCTAATTGTGTTAATTTGTATTTGCATATTAGCCAGTGTTTATATAGTATGGCTGAGCAGTCAGCTTGGCCCATCATCACAACAACAAGCTGTTTGTTATTTGAGTGTGTAGACCATCTGTGTAGATCTTGTAAAGAAGATAGTTGTAAAAAGTGCCTTGAAAATATTTGCAGATCTAAAAGCTAGAAAAAAAAAATGAATGTTTTCTTTAGCTTGTATTAAGTTGTTGATTGTAATAAATTTGTTATTCTACATTTTCAGTTTTTCTCCTTGTGAATTTTAAAAAATATACTTGTAAGGGTGCCAAAGTTCATCTTGCTTGGTGAGTCAGCAACCCCAGGGCTGGCCTTGCCTGTGGGTATGATAATTTAGATTGAGGAAGTATCAATTTTTTAATTACTATCATGAATGAAGGTAATACTTGAAAAAGTAAACAAAAAGTGTAGCTATATTTAATCTGTGTAAAAAAAAAAGAAAAAGTAAAAGAGTTTGATAAAAATCAAAATGTTTTTTTTGTTGTTGGCTTGTTTCATGTTTGCTAAGATCAGAGGGAAATGATCTGTCCATCCATTTGTATCTTTTTAATACTAGAATTCATACAATCCGAGATTTGAGAGCCACTCAAGGTAGAGGGTTACTGCTGCATTTTGATGCTGTTGTTCAATGGACACTGTGACTTATTATAGATTAATTACTCCAGATCAAGTACATCAAAAAAAAAAAAAAAAATGATTGAATTTTATAAAAGTTAGTGGGTGGGGGTCATTTGATATGTAAATTCGTTGTAAGACTACAGAAGCTAGAAACAAATGTTTTTATGACATGATTTTTTAACATTTTTTTTTTATTTTTACATTTTTAAGAAATCACGTTGTATGAGCAGATTTTGTTTTGGCCTCCATGAGTGGGGGCACCAATTCGCAATGAATTTACAGAGCGAAGCCCCCTCCCCATATTTTCCAAAAATTTTATTTTTTTTTTTATACGGGGTGAGGGGCTGTAAAAGTAGGTATAAGCATTACAGTAATAGTAAATATATGTAGTAATTTGCTATAGTTACAAGATTCATTTATTTTAAATACTAGAATTTTTTAATTCATTTAAAAACATTTTTATTTTATATTTTTATTTTCATAATAAATATTTTGATATTATTACACATTTGTCATAATTTTTATTTTTTAATATGGTAATTTAACGGGCAAGGAGCAGAAATAGATTTTGAAACACTACTAGAAGACATTATTATTGTTATATTTATATAATCAATCAATACATTTTGTTTTTCTTTACTGACTTTTGCATCCCGCTGTGTTCATCATCTGGAGTGTTTAAAAAAAATCTATAAATGAAAAAAAAAAAAACTCCACCTGTGTTTATTTTTAATATGTGTGTGTGCATATGCAGATATATTTTATTTACTTACATGAATGCTCGTCTTTCGCCCATAAGCACTTAGCAATCGATAGACAGGGTCGTAGGAAAAAAGCGTGTAAGCCAAAAGGAGGGAAAGAAAACAATGAAGGGCTCGTCGGGTCCAATTTTTTCGTTTGGCTTTTTTGATGCTGGCAAGGAATGGCGATGCCGCTGACTGGATTTGATCCCCACTATAACCCGACTGCAAACACATGTCACGAAGAAGACAGAATTCGTTCTCCAAGAGTTCCAGTTTCTCGGCGATTGACAGCTTTTTTTCAGCCTCTGTTACGACGAGGGAATCGCGACCTTTTTCACTCTTCTCCGTCGCCTGCGACTTGGCTGCCTGCTTCCCTGAACGTTTACTTGTCATTATTAGTGACAATGCTTAAAAGAAAAAAATAATAATAGACTGGAGAAAAAAATGAAATGAAAGAGAAACAATGAAAAACAAATGGAATTCAATTTGGCTTAAGAAGCGTCAATGACAATATTGTTGTTACGATAATGAGCAAGACAAGGGAGATAACTCTAATCAGAAATTGTCTCACAAGAAAATAAAAACTAGAGAGTTAGTTAACTAGTAGTCGCATTGCTCAAAAAATAATATTACTTATTGTTCATTATCACTGTTCTCCATAAAAGTACTTCCTCTAAATTTGATTTATTTTAAATAATTAAAAATAAAGCAAAAATACTGATTTAATCAAGCGACAAAGTAAAAGTTAGTGAATAATCTTCGGCTGATTTCAAGATTTTTAATTTTTTTTTTAACCAAAATTTTGAACGTGCTAGAAAGAATGAAAAAAATTAATAAAATAATAAAAAATAATTTGGTATTTCCCCTTAATAACAGCATAAACATTTTGACGATAAAAATTCGTTTTCATTAAGTTTGGAGCATTTTTCTTCACGGTATGCTGTTTTTTTTTTTTTTTTGGTGAATTAGTGGAGACTTAGAGACGATTGCATAACATTTCTAAATTTTTATGACAAAAAGGCTTATTCATTAAAAAAAGCAATTTAAAAGTTTCTCTAATTAAATAATGTCATATTTTTATTGTGTTGTTTTTATTTTTTAAATTCAGAGCAGATTTTCGGTAAGATGGGGTCTGATTTAAAAAAAAAAAAAAAAAAAAAAATTGCAATTTTAAAATTCTCCAAAGAATTCTGCTTTTTTAGTCACTAAAATTATCACATTGAATTTCTCAAGTTTTCATAAAATTAAGTAAGAGGCTAAAAAACATGTGAAAAAAATACCAATATTTTCTGGTAAAAAAAAACATTTCTAAAATAATTTTATTCATTTGTGAATAAGTCCTGCTGAAAGTTTCATTAATTTAAAATCCAACAATTTGATTTTTGCTAGAATTTCCAAATTAATGTGCTTTACTGAAAAAAAACCCGCTAAAATTTGCTATGTTAAAATTACATCTGCTGATGCAAGACAAAAAAAGAAAGGTTTTTAATAAAAATTTCGAATGTTCTAAAAAGGAGTAAAAAATTTAATTAAATTTTCCAAAATACTTTGATCTTTCCTCTTAAAATTTTGTTTGACAATAAAATGTTGTTTTCATTTGGATCATGTTTTCATCACAGTATGCTGATTTTTTTTAGTGATTTTGTGGAGTTACCTACATCTGACATATTTTTATCTTTTAAAAATGAATATTTGTTAATTTTTGAGGTTTTTTATAAATTTATTTTTGAATAAATGATTAAAATTGTATGAAAAACTAAGAAAATACTGGAATATGTAAGAATTAATTATCAAAATTACTTTTAATAAAAAATTTGTATAAAAAAATCCTAATTAAGAAAATTAGACTGTTAGTACCACAGATTCTTTGAAAATTAAGCCATATGTTTTTTTTTTTATAAAAAAAACATGAATAAAAATTGATATGTAAAGATTTGCAAAAAGAAAAAAAAGTGGCTCCAATTTGAAGTGTAAGTTATAGTCAATTTATTTTATATAAAATTGATAACGTTTGCTAAGCAGGATTCTACAAAAAATGATTATCATATTCTATTATTTGGGCATCTAAAAACAATAGCGTGCAATAATTTTTGTAAATAAATAAAATACCATTTATGATGTTTCTCATTGATTGGTGAACAGAAAAAAATGGTACAAGTGAAAAAAATAGAAAAAAATGACACATGTGAAAAACAGATTCTTTAAACAGCTTAAAATTAAACACCAATAGCTGTTTAATGTTAAGCAATTTAAATTTAAATTTCTAATCAGAGGGCAGTTGTTGTCTGTCTATTTACTTCTGGTTCAGTTGTCCAGGAAGCATCAAGTGCACACCATTGATCTCAGTGGCTCTTCTACCACAACCCTATCATGGAAGTTATATTAAGTAATAAAGGAAAAGAGAATATTTGCTTCTAAGGATACATGGATACAAAACAGATTATAAGATCAACTTCTATCAGATAAAGATTTTTTTTCCTATTTTTCCACTTGTGCCATGTTTACTGGTACCATTATTACCTGTGCCATGATTACCTAAATTCTCATTGATTATATTATTTTTTAAGGACAATGATCAATTAATCAAAAATATGTGATAATTAACAACCATCTTAATGGATCTAATATTTCCCATCAACAGAAATGTTGAACAAAAGCAAGAGTTCTTCAGGATGTAGGTGATTATGGCTCTCTACAATTTCCTGCTCTTAATAAATTTTGTCTTTTTGCTATCTCTCCTAAACTTTGTTCCACCATTCATTTACTCAAGTTCTTTTGGTAGTTTATGCATTGTTTTCCTCTGTCTCTTTTGCCTTCAATATGTCCAGTGAGTATCAAATTATTTAAGTCTTCTTTCCTTATTATGTGCCCTAGAAATTTCATCCACCTTTTTCTGATGTTAACTGTAAGGGTCCTTTTTGTTTCAATTTTCTCTAAAATTTTGTCTTTTCTTATGTTTTGTCTATAGTATTCTCAGCATCCTACTGTAGAACCACATTTCTGTTGTTTCAAGTCTCTTCTTCATTTGTGAGGAGATTGTCCAGCATTCACTGTCATATAGAAGTAGTTCTAGTTCCTATTGGAAATTATTACAAGTAAGACACTATCTTTTCATCCCCTTTTCATACATATAGTTTCTCTATGTCAAACAAATGTAAATATGTATAAATAATTTTGTATATGACTTAGAAATTTCAGCTGTCTCTTCCTGATGTTTCCTTTTTGTCTCCATTTTCTTTAAAACTTTGTCATTGCTCATATGTTCAGTTCATGGTATCCTCAGCATCTTTCTGTAGAAGCATATTTCTGTTGCTTCAAGCCTCTTCTTCATCTTTGAGGAGGTTGTCTAGCATTCACAGGCATACAGGAGGACAGATATCATGTAACAGTTTAATACTCTTTTCTTTTTTTCCTACAAAGTTTTTCTCTCTCTAAATATTCTGCTTAGGTTTTGGAAAGTATCTTTAGCTATCTCAATGCATCTTCAGATTTCAGTGTCACACTTTCCGTCCACTTCCAAGATATTTAAATTTTTGTACTTGTTTGATTTTGGTATCTCCAATTTGTATTTTGCATTTTGGTCTCCTCCTTTTGCTAACAACCATGTGTTCTGTCTCCTTGCAGTTTATGTTTAGTCCTTTCTACTTACTTTCCTTCACTATCTTCTGTAAGAGAATTTGTAATTTTCTTTTCATGTCAACTATCAAAATATCATCTTTATATCTTATATTGATAAAATTGTGGTTGCTAATAATAAATCCTGGTAGGACATCTAATTCTCTCAGAATTGCCTTGTTGTATAGGTTGAATAAGTTCACTGAGAAGACACATCTGTAGCGGACCGGGTGTTTACGTGTTGTTAAATTAGGAACATGTGAGTTTATTCCTGCTAGAAGAAGGTCCATACAAAAACATAGTGGACTCAGAGATTAAATCCACCATAAAAAATTGTAAAGAAAACAAACAAGACCGATATATATATATCAACAAATATATGTATTAAACAACACAATTTTACAATGGACATAGACATTAACATTTGTGTTTGTGTGTGAATGTAAAGAGTTTGTATTTTGGTGAATGCTCGTACGTACGTGTATGTGTGTATAATGTTCATGGCATCTCCCACAAATGGGAAGACACAATCTTCTGTGAGAGCTTACATTGTAGATGTGCTTGCTGAAAATGAAGAAATGAAAAAGAGGACAAGGCAAGAAATCACCCAGCATTTATAGTGTAGGGAGAATGTCTCCTAGTGAACAATTTGGACAATTAAAGAGGAGTTATCTCTGACACATCCTTGTCTTACACCCGTTTCTATTTTTGTATATGTGCTGAACTGATCTTCTACTCGTTTAACCTCTTCACATCTATGGTTAACTGATATCTTACATATCCTTGTAATAAGCACCTTTTCCTTGATTCAGTAGCCTTCTACCTTGAGGGACTTGTTAGTCTTGTATTGTGTGAACAATACTATAAAAAATGTAAAAATTGAAAAATAAATTATAGTATCCTAAACAGGGCCAGTATGTACCACACCTAAACTCCCTGACCATGTGGTAAGCCAGATTGGTTGCCCTGGGAAGTACTTTATGACTCTTGCTATCTTATCAAAATTTGCTTTTTTCTACCTACATTACAAATCAAACTAAGCATAACTGACTATTAAAGGATGAAAAATTTTCATGGATTCCAGGGTTTTGTTTTCATCTAAATATATGAATTTTTTTTGCATATGCTAAGTCTAAAAACAAACTATATAAAATTCACTATTTTTAAATCCATAATGTTGAATGTGTTAAAATTATTCATCTTTTTAACAAGAAAAAATCTCAAGTTGATGTTAAAAATAGCCGTAAAAAACATTGTTGATTTATTTAAGATGGAATAATCTATTATAACATGTCTCTAATTTGTATTTAGTTACATTGCATTTATTTTCAAATTTTCTAGTTAAATTGTTCATATATATTGCATATTATCCATTATTGTGTATAATTATTTTACAATAAAATTTGTATTTCATATGAATGCTACCTCATGAAAATAGAGATGTAGTAGAGTGGGCTATCCATATCATAGATTGGTGGGGGCCCACGAAACCCTTGCACTGGCCCTGAAATTAAATAATTGTTACTTTTTTTTTATTTGCTTCAAACAAAATTTTGCAAGCAACAAGAAAAACTTAAGAAGGGGAGATAACTCGTAGCGGAAAAAACTTTAGCGCACTTTATTTAAAATTGACACGAGGTGTTTGGGGAAGTTGTTCGGTTTTGACTCTTCCATATTATTTGTTAAAATCAAGCTTAATAAGTTTATCGGCTGCATCATGTCGATGCGAATGTCTAATACACGAACAAGTATCAGACTTTTAGCCGGAAAGCCGAAAAGAACAGTCAAGAGGAAACAGTTTTACGATGAACTTTACAACGAAGAAAAAAACAATGGCAACAACGCTAACAACAAAAATACTGATAAAAACTCGGCCAAAAGAAGCAAACTCGATTCAAATTCAAGTTCGAAAAATAGCCACAAGAAAGAAACTACGACAAATAAGAATGACGAAAAAAATTCGTCCTCAACAAAGACAAATGACAAGAAAATCTTCAGCGATAATGGCAAAAAAAATCATCCGCAAACACCTTACAGAATTGCTAAATTCCGAGATCGGATAGAGAATTTAAAAAAACAGAAATTATCATCCGTGCCAGATATGGACCCTGCTTTCTTTTTACGTTGTCATTCGGATTCAAATCAACCCGATGACGATGGCAATTTGGTCTGGATGTGTCGATTTCAACCTCAACCTTTATCATCGAAAGGCGAACCCCGAGGTACCACCAACCTGATGGCTTCGTGCGGAGGTAAAATAGTTTGTATCATTGATTACACATCAGGGAAAGTGATGATGAGATACAAAGATATTAACAGAGAGGAGAACTTTTATGCTATGGCCTGGACGACACTGGAAGTTTCGAACTGCAGAAAGAAAGGACAAAAAAACCAGTCGGAATCATATTTTACCAATATTCTTGCAGTTGGTGGAGAAGCTCAGGAGGTAAACATCGAAAATTAAAAATGTTATTGATATATATATATATTCCTGTCAGTGTTTTTAAGAAAATCTTAAATTGATTCGCACGACATATACTAAATAAATAAATAAACCTTTTTAATTTAAGTGTAAAAAATGTAAAATCCCCATTGGGCGATTTTGCACTTTGTCAAGTTAATGATTTAATGAATTATTTTATTTTTAATAACGAAAAAATAGAATTTAAATGCTAAATTAAATAAATGTGTATTTTTGCAATAAAGGATAATAACTAAAAATCCAATGAAGGATATTTCAATTATAAAATGTGATTATAATTTACATTTTGTAAAAAAGAAAAAAAAAAAAACTTTGGAATTAAAAATACGTATTAAAAAATTAAAAAAAAACGGTTAATAATTGTTAAAAAAAGAAAAAATAGCATCAGTTAAAAATTAAAGCTAAAACTTTAAATTCTTAGTTATTAAAACAAAAATCGTTTTTTAATAATATCCTTAAAAAAATTATTCAACCCACAAAATAAAACCATAATATTTTAAATAATTTCCATAAATAAAACCATAAGCCCATCAAATGTCAAATTCTTTGTTTTTGTTAGAATAAAAATAGTCAAAACTAAAGGTAAGAAAGTGTGAAAAGAAAACTCTACACCCATTTTACTAACCTTTTTTAACATTTAAAAACAAAATAGTTTTAATTTAAGTCTATAAAAATCCGGTATTATAGGTTTCAACTTTTCTACCTAATTTATTAAACCTCCCAAAAATCTGACAGTGAGCATTTTTTTTAAATGGGTTTAAAATTAAAATTATTGAATAAAACTTTTAAAAAGCATAGCCTAAACTGATTGTTATGGATACCTTGGAGGCCATTCAGGGCATTTAATTTTTTTTATCTGTAGATCAATATTTTTTTTTTTTTTTTTTTTTTGTCTATGTACAAATATAATTAACCAGAAAACTATTTTCAAAGCATACTATTCTATTCTGGGTTTATAAAGAAAGATTATTAATTTTCTTTTATCTCAATTGTTTTTGGTCATGTGCATAGACCCTCCCCCCAACTTTCTTTTTAAAAAAAAACTAATTCCATAGTTAGTGAACTTTGTTAGGGTTTGATTTAGTTTAATGAAATAACCTTTCTGTAAGTAATCATAATGAATGTACATAGGAAGTTATATAACTTCTAACTAAATAATATGAAATAAGCATAAGTAATCCTAGTAATATCCATACTTTAATGAAATAGCCTTTTTATCCATACACTAATGTATGCCATTGATAAGTTCAATGGCAAACAGATTTTTATGGAGTTCTCCAGCTTTTCATTTTATGTAAATCAATTGATTGAATTATTCATACATTAAAATTCAAAGGTGTAATAATTTATACAGGGCAGCGTTGCAGTTTATGAAATAACTATACAGTATAACCCGGATATAAGAGAAACCCGGATATAAGAGAGATTTTCTCTGGTCCCAAATTAGAGCCTGTGTTAATGTATATAAAATAGACGAAACCCGGATATAAGAGAAACCCGGATATAAGAGTGATTTTCTCTGGTCCCAAATTAGAGCCTGTGTTAATGTATATAAAATAGACGAAACCCGGATATAAGAGAAACCCGGATATAAGAGTGATTTTCTCTGGTCCCAAATTAGAGCCTGTGTTAATGTATATAAAATAGACGAAACCCGGATATAAGAGAAACCCGGATATAAGAGACTTCTTCTCCGGTCCCGACAAATCTCTTATATCCAGGTTACACTGTATATGAAAACATATTTGTTATGAAGTTCTTATATGCACAATTGTAGTAGTAGTTGTCACAAGTGACTTTCTTCCCTAGTCTATCTTGAGTTCTTCCTATAGTGGTATGGTTATGCTATTTATTATTAGCCTAACCAATCCCACTACACCTCCTGGAGCCTTTTAGATTTAACTCCCTGAGTTGACCTATTGCTTCTCCTACATACCCTCCCCCTTTTCACTGGTTTCAAGAGGACTTCTCCTTATAGAAGATCTCAGTCTACTTCTTTCTTCTTCAGTATCCATTGTTTTGTTCTCTGATTCCTCAGAAAACCCTTGAGCACTCATTGTCTCTTCTGATCTATTATCTTGTTCTTCTCTATCTTCATCTAACTCCTCAGTATCTTCAGTTTCTGAGTCTTCATAGTTTTGGCACAATCGTAGTTGGTCAGCATGCACCAATAGACCTCTACCATTCTTGAAAACCAACACTTTATTCTGTCCCTTCCGCATTACAAATCTTACTTTTTCTGGCCTCTCTTCTCAGTTTCTCTTGTACCATATCTTCTCATTCATTGAGTATGACATTGTTAATGGTGCTCTAATTTATCTTCCCATTAATGCAGATGGACTTTGTAATTTTCCGGTATGAGGTATTGTCCGATAACTTAACAATTTTGGTAGAAAATTTTTGATTCTTTCATGCTGTGGGGAGAAGGCTTTTAAACCCATTTTTATCGCTTATACCATTCGCTCAGCTATTCAGTTTGATTGCGGATAAGGAGGGATTTTATACGGTATGCATCCAATGTTTCTTAACCATGAACACAAGTTTTCATCGCAAAACTCTGGAGCATTATCTGTTACCAATGTCCTTGGTACGCCATTCCTGAGAAAAACTATTCGTAAAATCTGTTGTACAGTATCTGATTTTCTATCCTTAACCCTAAAAACTTTGGGCCATGCTGAAAACACATCCACCAATATCAAACACAGTCCTATACCATTCACATGTGCATGGTTCATGTGAACCCTGGACCAGGGTTTAGTTTCCTTTGGCCACGAATGTGCTTTGTTCTGTTGAAAATTTTTTATCTCCGCACATTTAGGACATTTTTTGATAAATATGCCTGCAATAAGATGTAATGCCAAAAGGATGGTTTTTCCCTTGACACCACTATTATTTTAACTACCTTCACTCCTTGGCAGTGTTTATTGTTCATTGTTTTAAAAAGTAATGATTAGAATTGGAATAAAACCTAAACATATGAAAGTGAATTTACTCATTTACTTTGTTCTTGAGAATTGACAACCAAAACAATAAACACTATTTATTAAATTGTTTCTTTACACTATTTATTTATTATATTATTTATTGGAATGGCTGGCAAAACATCAGCTAATTGACAATTGATTCCAACTTTATAAAATGGTAAATAAGGATCTTCTTAGTTGGTTCAGATAATTTAATAAATTAGTAAATGTTTATAGATTTATGAATAAAAAATTGTTTTCACATTTAGTATTAGTGTAAAAGTGAATGCAACAGACTAGCCCAGAATTTGAACTCGGTTCTCCAATTCCACTACTGAAACTTTTTTCTTTAATAAGTTCCCTATATATTAGTTACATTCAGACTAACATCCTTGTTTTGTTATCATAATGTTTCAGGCATTATGTCCTTTGACCTTCTTCAGGTGTCTGTCAATAGAAATAATTTTTTTTTATTTTATTATCCCATGCAAGGCAGTAAAGCCACTAAGACACAAGGGTTACTGAGTGTGAAAGAATAAGGAAAAAAGGGAAACATTATTAAGGAACAAGAACAATAGAAGAATAATGAAGAAGATGGTAGATAACAATTGACATTGCATTTAAATTTTTGAAGATCAAAGTTGGCTGGAAAGTATGATGCAAGAACACAAGCGAGAAGTGCAAGGAAAGAAATTGTTAGCATAGAACATACAATTACATCTAGCCATTTCAACTGTAAATTGATGAGACCTTGCTGCTAATCTAGTACTGGACTTAAATTCATGAAGTCTATGTATCGTAGTGAAGATCTCATCCAAACAATTACCATGAAAGTATTTATAGAAAAGGCAAAAGGAAAGTAGATTATGGTGGTGGGAAAGTGACTGAAGCTGAGATGCCAGGTCCTGACCAATAATATTGCTGATTTTTCTTTGGATTTTATCAAGGAGCTGTAAATATACAGCAGAAGCAGGGAATGTCAACCCAAATTCTTTACTTAATCTTTGAGGATAGATTCTTCTTGTTCCCCTTCTCCATGTCTACAGATACGTTGTCCAATTCTTATTTAGTATTGCTCTGTTATTTCTTGCTTTGTTTTTATGGAGTCTAAATCTGCCTAGCCCAGGGATTGAACTCACAATTATTTTCTCTTTCTGGTTTTTCAGATAAAGCTATTGCATCCATCACAACTTGTCGTTTATGCAGGCATGACAGGTCACAAGAAGGCAATAAGTTGTCTTTTGTTCCACCCTCAAAACCCGACATGGCTATTCAGTGGTTCTGAAGATCAAAGAATAATTTTGTGGGACATTGGCATTCCTGACTTTACAGACTACAGCACTAAACACAGCCAACTACTTGTATTGAAGTGTGATGAAGGGATACTCAATATAGTGTTCTCAAGCAGCCTCGGATGGTTGCTTGCTGGCACTGAGGATGGATGTTTTGGTTGGAAAATGGATGGGGCTCAAGTGGTTGGTGAGTTTCTTTCTTTTTTTTCTTTCTTCTTCTTTTTTTTCTTTCTTCTTCTTTTTTTTCTTTCTTCTTCTTTTTTTTCTTTCTTTTTCTTTTTTTTTTTTTTTTCTTTTTTCTTTTTTTTTCTTTTTCTTTTTCTTTCTTCTTCTTTTTTTTTTTTTTTTTTTTTTTTTTTCTGTTAAATATAGTTAATAAATATATGTATATATTAAATAAGGAACAATTAAGAAAAAAATTTATAAATTTAACGTTTTGCTATTTATTTAGCTTATTCAAAAATTTTTGGAAGTTTGGATTTCTGATAAAGCTAAATAGTTTATTTTCTGATTTGTATTTCCCCCATTATGGACATTATTATATCTGTGATATAACAATACCATATTTCATGGACAGAACAGAATGGCTGAAAGGAATGACAAACATTCTTTGTTCTCAAAAAGAATTTTATATTGCTAAGAAATACATAAAACTATATATACATATAGATAGCAAGTATAATGAAAGGAGAACGAAAAGAAATGATCTTACATATAATATGGAGATTCTTCTGTGTGGAGAAGCCATGTTTAGGATTCCAGATTCAAATGGGCCAAATTCATCTACTATGTCCAAGATGAGGACATATTCCATGAAATAGCAAGTCTTGGCTTTCCACAAATTGAGGAATGTGAGCCACATTTTATTTCTATATCTCGGGAAGATATATTCCCAAATGGAAATGCCACCATGGACTTGTAAGCTCCTGGAGGAGGCAGATTTAGCCTCAGCACCTTGGTCCTTAGCCGTGGCTAAAAAAAGCAACCACTCAGTTTGGCTCCTGTAAACCGACTGAATACTGGTCACTTTCGTTATTGTATGAAGCCATGTCACTAAGTGGCCATTATGTGGCCTATGTGACTTCTCAACAAAAGGGAGATAATCACCTTTTTTATCCTTACAAATTTGTAAATGTGTATTTTTTTTTATCTTTGAATTTTGGTCTGACGATAAGAGACTGACAAACTGTTTTAGCTGTTTCTTTTAATAGTTTTATTTTGGTATTACCAATTTAGGGTTAATATATATTTTTTGCTACCTCACTTTTCATTATGAATTGTATCTTTTATGTTATGACTAGGCTTTTAATGTGGCTGCTTTTATTAGTCTGATAAAATTTTATATGGCTGCAAAAGTACTTATTTGCTTAAATTAAAATCAGTCTGATAAAAGAATCCATTCTTCTGTAAAAATTCTGTATTCATTTCTCCACCATCTTTTGTCGGAGTTACCTCCCTTGGCTATTATTCAAAATGTTCACTTGTCCTCCATCTTCCTCAATAACATGTAGCCAAGAGATTTTAAATAAAAACCAGACCTTCAGTGGTATAATAGTAAATATCTCTGCCTGTTACATGGAAAGTTTGTTTCTCATTGAGAAAATCTAGACCATGTTCCATTCAATATAAGGTCGAATTGAGGCAATGATTCAAGCCAAAGGCAGCTATGTTATTTAATATTTACTTACTCCATAAATTGACATTTTTGTTCTTTCTGCAATAATAATAAAGATCACCTTTTGCAAAAAAAAAAAAAATCCTTTTTAAAAAGAAAAGGACTGCTAAGTGAAATTTTCAGTATTTTTGCATTGCCTATTTTCAACATCACTATACTTAAGAAGAATAAGATGCTCCATCAAATCTAGGTAAAAAAGTTACAAGAAAAAAATCATGGTGAAAAAAAGAACAGGACAAGGTTAGCACATAGCAAACTAAATACCAGCCTCTCATCAAAAAGTGGAAAAGATGCTGGCCTCTCATCAAAAAGTGGACAAGATGCCAGCCTCTCATCCAAAATTTATGAAGCTGGCATCTTAATGCCAGTCTCATTAATTAAATAAACTGAAAAATTCAAGGAACTTTTAAATCAAATTTAAATAATCTCCTGGGGTACTGGTACTCCCTTTGGAAATATATTGTATATGTGACTGTAGTATTGTTAGAAAATGTTTTTATGGCTTAATCTATCTTCATATATGATTTCTGTGGTTTGTTTATGTTTTGACACAAACTTTAAAAAACACCCTTCTTAAGACTTTCTTCAAATAAAATCACATCTTATGGGATACTAGGACTCCCTAACTATGAAATATATTGAGTATATTATTATAGCATTGTTAGAAAACAGTTTTTTAGAGGTTGGGTTGATTTACTATGAATTTCTGTTGCACAAAGATATAGATGACTTTATTTCTAAATACCATAAACTAATTGTGACTTTTTTACCTAGCCAAAATTGTAACTTTCTTCTGTGACTTTTTTCTTGGTCACAGTTCCATCATCTACCAAACATTAACAAAAATGCAGTAACTTTTTTCTGACCCTCAAAGATCATAAAATGTATTGACAAAATCATACTGTTAATCACTTTTGATTTTGGGGTAAAATTAACAAAAGTAATTTATTTACTGTGTGGCCCCAAAATTTTGCATTCCAATGTTGACTGGTTCACTCAGGGGTGGTGATGGTGGAAAGGGAACAATTTTGGGATGTGATTAGCATTCTCTAGCTAGATCTTGCTTAGACTGTGACACTTCAAAATTGGGAAATATTGAATTTTTGTCTGTCTATATCTCTGAGATGAGGTATCATGATTACTTGCATTATTTAAATTACTCAGACCGTTATCCTCATCCTCATTGCTATATTCATAATGTTTCAGCCTTGAGGACATATGTCTCAGTGGATAAAGACATTGATAAGATCCAGGGACTAGACCCAAAGAGTTGCGAGTTCAATACCAGGCAGTGGTGAATCAAAAAACGTTGGCGGGGAAAAAAAAAAGTTAAACAGAAATAACTGAGACATCAGGAAGAGGCATGGCATGTAGAACTAGAACACTCTACCCCAGTGGACCAAATAAATGGTTTGGTTCAAAATTTCAATCATCTGAAGAAGGTTGGAGTGTACAATGGCTGAATCGTTGTGAACATGGAAATGAAGATCAGGATAACAGTCCCAGTAATGTAAATAATGTAATTAATTGAATTTTTACCATTTTAGACTGGTGGTGGGGGGATTGTTCATAATCCTTGACTTTTACAGAGTCACCAGAAAATGATGTATTTTATTTTAAGAATTGTCCTGGGTATGATGATAAACTACATCTGGCAGCAACCTATTTTTTATGAGTGGAACAGTCTATTTAAGTAGACTCCCTTTTTGACCCTACTTTTTTAACAGTGGAACATTTATTTATTTTTTTATTAACACTGACTTTTTTTTTTCTTTTTTTTTCCCCCCCAAGGTAAGTCAAGGCGACCGGCAACCCAGTTTCAACTGCCACAGCTTACCAGCAATGAAGAATGTGTGGACGGCCTGGTTTTGCTTGATGATCACACAGTGGCATGCAAATATGTTGAAGAATCTTTTATCTATATATGGAACTTGCTGGATTACATTCCATCCCAAGTTGGACAGTCAAAATTCGTTTCGTCAGTGGAACCATTTGCCGTTCTCAAATACGTTAATATTGACGAACCCTATGTATATCTTTCAGGCTCGAAGAATCGACTTGTCGTTGGGGATTCCCAGGGTAGAATCTTTATCTATAATATTAAAAATCTGCGGAAGAAGCATACTTCGGACCAGTTGTATATACCATCTCGAATTTTGGACTGGCCTGATGTAGAATATCCAACTGAAAATGATGATAAAAGCCGTCCAATAATTAACACAGTTATTATGAATGAAGAGTGTACTCATATTGTTGCCACAACAGATGATAATATTATCTGTGTTTGGAAGAATCAGGAGTGCTGAGAAAAATCCTCTTTCGAGCTGTGTTAAAATGCTAGGAAGCTTGCTGAAGAGTGGTAGTTTAAAAAGATTAGCAATCTTGCAATCTGTTAATAGCAAGTTTTATCCTCTTTGGGTATTCTGCTATGGAAGATTGGTAACAGTTTAAGCAGTATTTAGTGAACATCGATTTGACACTGACATGATGTAGTTAGTTGCAGATTATTAGTGCCAGCAATTAGTGTTCAAGCACAGGTACAAAGCTATGAATACTGATTTTCACAGAAAATGAGTAAATTTTTTCCCATGAAAGATTTAATTTTAAATGGCTGATTAGTTTTTGAAATGAATTCTTCTTTCCATGACAAAAATGCCCTTTTCTTTATTTTTTTTCACTTTAAATGAAGAATTGTAAAGTACACTTTAAAAATGTTTTTGTAATTTGTCAATGCACCCTATCTTCCTTTTTTTTTTTTTTTTCCCTAGTATTATTGACCCATTGTATCTGTGGGTTTACTTCAATAGATTCAATTAATCATCGATCAAAAAAATTTTAAAAGATTTTTATTCCAGAAAAGTGCTGAGATGGAAAATCTGAATTCACAATGTGCCAAACACTGTCCTGCTTGCTTCTATGTGAATGGGGCAGTATTGCCCTGTTGTCGACTCTACCTAGCATTTCAAATACCTTTAACATCTTTCAGTGCTCATTCTTTGAGCATTATTCACCTTCCATATTATTCATTCATTACTTGGGCCATGTGCATTTTCATTTTTTTATTTTCTCCAAAATTTGGAAAGGAGATTTCAGATTTTTTTTTTTTTTTTTTTAAATCTTTATTTATTTAAAAAGTATCAAAAATTTTATTAAAATCCTATAATTAATTGACTTTTGAGAGATTTTTAAAATTGATATTTCTCAACGAATATTTTTTTATGTGAATTTTTTTTTCTAAACAATTTTTACACTATCATTTTCCACAAATATTTCCAGGTCTATAGTATAAAACAAATATGTACAGGGTGATTAAAAAGTAACTCCCTATTTTAGGTATGATGGACTCTCCTATCTATAATTTTTTACAAAACTGGAGAGTCCATTATACATAAAATAGGGAGTTACTTTTCAATCAACCTGTATATCCAAAGTTTCTCCAGTCATTTTCTTGAATGAAATCCCTTCCAAATATTTTTAAGTCGACAACCTGAAGGACCTTTTTGAACAGGTCATTCCAAATAACATTTTTGGATTCAAGGAAGTGGGACTGTACCAAAAAACACCAAATTCTTGAAATCATTTTAACTGTATTGCAGACAAATGAGTTCTGATCCTTTTAAAAATAATGCTACCTATAAACTATTCATTTTCAAATCATATATATATATATATATATATATATATATATATATATATTTTTAAAATTTATTTTCTGTTTATACATTATTTTTATAGATACAAATATTTAAGTAAATGGTCTGTTTATAATAAACAGTATTAACAAGATTTACTGGCCTGAATGTCTGAGAAATTTTCATAGAAAATATGTGCCCTCCAACAGGAATCAAGTCTCTATCCTATACAGAACCGTCATATAGCCTAATGTGCTATACCAGTTTAGCTACAGAGGAGCATCTGGTTAGCAAGGTCAATTTTACTGCTTATATAGAAGAGGTTAAGATTGTAATGATTGAGGAAGCCGCCTGTGGGGAGTTTGTTCCACAAAGCAGCAGCTTTTCTTACAGTGTATAAAATATTCTAAATTATCTAAAGATAATTTAAAAAAATATGGAAGATGTGGTTTTTTTTTTTTTTTTTTTTTTTTATCGTCAGTAATTCCCACCAAGATACAAGGGTCTACTGAAAGTGAAAGAGAATGAAAAGATTTTAGAAGTAACCAGAAACCTGATCCTAAACAGGAAACAGTCTCTACTGTTCAAAAGACCAAGTCGGAGTATGAAGTGGATGATAGACATAACTATTTCTATTGATGCTACCACTGATTTTAACAGTGCCTAATTATCTGTTTGGATGGACCAAGTGAAGTCACTCAATAACAATCCTGTAATTGACCACTGACCCCCTAACTTTTGTTAACCTATATCCACTTGGTGTCAGTTTAAACTGATGTCAGTTTTTTTTCTCATATATTATGACCATTAGTTTCTATTTTGTTTTTGATTTCAAATAAAAACGGAAATTTTCCAAAATATTTCAGTGAAATATTCACTTTCCAAAATTATGGATTTTAATTATAGTTTATGAATATGAAAAAAAAGAGGTCTCTTATAATTGATGCCAAGAGAAAATGGGTTAAATTATTATTAAATGTAAGGCAATCTTGAACCTTTGTGCCTGAAAAAAAATGTGTCAAAAGGATGGTTTTTCCTTTGACACCACTATTATTTTTAACTACCTTCACTCCTCAGCAATGTTTATTGTTTTAAAAAGTTGGGATGAGAATTGTAATAAAACCTAAGCATATGAAAGTGAATTTATATTTTTCTTTGTCCTTGAGAATTGTAAAACAAAATAATAAACACTTTATTTATTAAGGATTTTATTGGAAAGGTTGGCAAAACATCGGCTGATTGCCAATTGATTCAAACTTTATAAAATGGTAAATAAGGATTTTCTTGTAGTTGGTTCACATACTTTTATAATTTAGTAAATGTTTATAAATTTATCAGTAAAAAATTGTTTTCATATTTCCTTATGAATTGGTAAATGATAAATATTGCATTAGTTTTAAAACAGTTGTATTAGTTTTTTAGAATGTTGTAAATATAAAATTATTCTTGTAAATAAACAATCTAATAAATAAATAGTGTTTAATAATTTTGTTGTAATTCACAAGAACAAAAAAAAAAATGTATAAATTTACATTCATCAAATGTTTAGGTTTAATTACAATTCTTATCATTGTTTTGGAAAACATTAATTTCCAAGGAGTGAAGGTAGTTAAAATAGCATTGGCCTATCTACTGTCTATAGATAGTGACAATTGATAGATGAAATAGTTTTTGACAGTGTCATTGAAGAATTTGGCAACAAAAAGTAAGAAAAGTTATTTTGTTGAAAGATGTAATTTTCTGTTCAGAAATAAAGATGGTCCAAATTTTTTAACCCTTTTTTCTCTATATGTTTTTGCTTTTTAACTGTTATTGATAAAGTTTAAGTATGTCTTGTGTGTATTTAAAGCATACTATATTTGAGTATGTTAAAGTGATATTATAATGGTACCCCAAACTAGTTTTATAACTAAGAGTGTGTCACTGTGCAATATGCATTTTTCATGGTGGCTTCTTGCTCTGCACTTTGAAGTTGTCTTACTGTTAACCAGTTGAAAGTAAATGTTTCAAGTCTATTTTTGCATCAGGTTCAGCTGTTTTCAATTTAACTCAGCTGACTCATAATGCTATAAAAACTTACTAATTAATCCATAGCTGGGGGAGAAGAGGCGGATTCATACCTTTCCCAATTGTATTTGCATGTAAGTGAATATAATGAACCCAATTGGAATTGGAACAATTCCAAGCTGTTATCCATTACACTAGCTGCACATTCAAACTTACAGTATCTGGTATTCCCAAGTAGTCACCCATCTAAGTATTGACCAGGCTTGATGTTGCTTAATTATGGTGATCCTACAGGAACTAGTGTTTCAATGTTGTGTAGCTGTAAGCCAAATGGTGGGTGAAACTTTTTTGTAGGGTCATTGGCAATGGTGGAATGTTGGGCTCCATAGCTATGGATAGGTAAATGAATGACAAAGTTCTGTGTAATGTGTTTCCTCCTTTTAGAAGGACTTTGTGAGACTAGAATGTGTTAGACAGAATTTTTTTCCACTTTGTCATTAATTTATCCATCATTATTTTGATATATAGAAAATTTATATACAGTAGCGGCCATAATATAATAAGAACGGAAACAACAAAGACAAATATGTGTATTACTTAAAAAATTTCATTGCTAATCATGCATTACTCTTTAAGTAATACACATATTTATGTCTTTGTTGTTTCCGTTCCTTATATTATGGCCGCTACTGTATATTCTCTTGTAGCTACGTGAGAGCGACTGAGAGAATGGCCAAAGTGGAGGTTTCCCCCGATGGAGTCAGACGAGCCTAGAACGTGGAGGACATAGTTTGATCTGGACTCGTGCCTTTCTCAAGGATATTTGTGTGTAAATGAATGTAACAAACCCGGCTGGAATTGGAACTCGGTTCTCTACTTTCTCTTGTTTATGCAAGTCGTATCAAATGCAATTTGAATTTTTGCTGAAAGAATAAAAAGAACCTAATATTTAATTTTAAAAATTCAAACAACATGGGCTGTGTCCCATCAGAATGTTGGCGATAATGGCTCTCTACAATTTCCTATTTGTAGCTCTTAATAACTTTTGTTTTTTTTTTGCCATATCTCCTAAAACCTGCTCTGTTACCCATTCACTCAAGCTCTCCAGGTAGGTTGTGTGTTGCTTTCCTCTTTTTTCTCTTGCCTTCAATTTGTCTTGTGAGTATCAAATTTTCCAAGCCCTCCTTCCTCATTATGTATTCCAGAAACCTCAACTGTTTCTTCCTGATGATCATTTTTATTGCTATTGTCTCTAAAAGTTTATCGTTCATATGTTCTGTCCGCGGTAGTCTCTGCATCCTTTTACAGAACCATATTTCTGTTGCTCTCGTCTTCACTTGTGACGAGATTGTCCTGCCATATACAAGGACTGATACCATATAATAGTTCTGTACTCTTTTCTTTGTTTCTAAAGATATATTTCTGTTTCTTAATACTTGACTCA